GTGATGTGGGAAAGTACTGATTGTTTCGATTTACGCCCGTTTCTTTTTGGGGTTTTTTTTAACGCTAAAACTGTTTATAAAAAGTTTTTGTTTTTCAATAATATCATTGATTGAATATGAATTTTTTGAGTGCTTGAAAATATTTGTAAAGTGCTTGAAAAGTTTTTAAAAAGTGATTATTTTTGATTCAAAGATTTGGCTACGCATCCTGATCAAGATTAAGATGCAGTATGATTTTCTTGCTTGTTAGACTCTTTTAAATATTTAGCATTTGAGTAATATTCCTGCACGATGTGGTGAAAAACGATGTGGCGAATTTTTTTATATAACTTTATCATGGTGCGTAGAATTTTTAAAAAGTGCTTAAAGGTACTTATTTTCATTTTTTAAAAGCCCTTAAAGGTGCTTTTTTATGGGGTGTTTTTAAAAAGTGCTTGATTTTCCTTTTTCGAAAATGAGATTTTTTCTTCTTTACCCTGTCGATTTTCATCACGTATTATGAAAAAGCGTGCTTTTCACATTGTTCTATTCAAAGTTTTTATAATTTATTCAACCACAATCTATTTCAGCTTACTGTCGGTCCATAGCGCCAATCATTTTACATGTTCGGTGAAATACTTGCGAGTCCTCATGTGCCTCTACTGAGCTGGGTTCGGTGAGATTCTTTCACTCTCATGTGCAACTCAGCTGCATTTTGCAAGATATTCTCAATTTCTAGCTTCATTTTCTCTGATATCAAAATCTGTTGATCATTCTATAATGGCTATAATATAATCAAGAAAAGAGTTTTTTGTCAGAAACTATTTATTTTATTATGATCTTGTAAAATATTTGAAATTTTTTTTGCATTTTGTTGATGTATATAGTGCTTAAAAATATTTTTTGAGTGCTTAAAAAGTTCTTAAAAGGTGCTTATTTTTTGTTGAAAGATTTGGCTACGCACCCTATTATAAGTCATAAACATCAGCTTAAGAAGAAGAGTAGTCAAAAATGAGTCTAAATAAAGAACAACTTCAAACAAATAATGAACTAGAGAACATCGCAATGTTACCTACCTTACTGTAATTCTATTTGGTAGGTAAAATCATAATTTAAATTACACAAGATTTTATGTGGGAAAACTTAGAATTTAAAAAAAATTAATAACTGAGGAAAATGTGATCCTATTCAATGTGACCCCCATGGAATTATGAAACATTTTTTTGTTGTTGTTGTTCGGAAGGGGAAGGCTAGACTCTTTCACACCTGTAAAACAAAAATGTCCTTTATAGCCGTTTATCTGTGTTCTGAATTGTGGTAAAATCATTTGTTAAAACTTGATTTTTTTATACTGTACATAATTTGCAAGTTTGCAATAACACTGTTGTATAAAATCCAGTTAAAAATTTCTGAAATGTTTGCCTTAAAATATAAAGTAAAAAATTTAATTTTTCCTATTGAAGAAGTATTTATTATGAAGATTTTTTTAAATTCATTTTTATTTCATAATTCCCTTTCAGAATATTTCTGCTGTTGCCGTTACCACGAAACCAGGTCTTCGAGGTTCGTTGTTAGTTGGCTTACAACATGCAAAGAAAGTAGCGAAAGCTTTTTCCAAGCCCTTGATTCCTATTCATCACATGGAAGCACACGCTCTAACTCCTAGGCTTAATAATGAGTAATTTATTTTTTTTAATTAATTTGTTATATTATTTTTGTTTAAAAATTTCTGATCAAGCTAAAACCATTTTAATTACATGTTTCCTATATTTTCATACCTTTATGAACAGGCTATCTGTGCACCTGGAAAGTCATGAGAAATCATGGAAAGTCATGAATTTCGGTATTAAACAAAATTTGTCATGAAATGTCATTATTTTAACTATTTTTTTAGAAAAAAATCATTGGAAGTCATGGATTTAGGCTGCCAAAAAATCTAATTTTTAAAATAAAATTTACCGCCACCCACCCAATTTCATAGTGTTCTGAATTTGTAACAAAATCCCCACTCCAAGTCATATTTTACTAAAATATAAAATGTTTTTATCATGGTCTTTAAAAAATATAGTGTTCTTTAAAAAAATGTAAGAAAAACGTCATTTCTAGAGCGAATTATCTTTTAAACTTCTGTGATTTCTGAATTGTTATTATAATTTTTATTTTTTTTTTATCAATTTCAAATTCTAGCTGTAGCAAGCCAGTCATTGGTGAATTTTTTTATTTCTGAAATGAGAACAGAAAAATTGGAAGTATTTCTTTCCTTTCCAAAGAACAAGAAAAGTATCTTTAGAATATAATTCTGCAGAAAAAAAGAAAAAAAATTATTTGCTTTAGTATTTTTTTTCCAGCTATTTTATTGCTTCAACTATTTCTTGACTCTGTTATCTAAATTTAAAATCTATAAATATGCAGAATATAACAGTTTTGGTTATACCTATCATTTCAATTAATGTTATTATAATGTTTTTTTTTTTAAATTTATTGTGTTAAAATTCTTGAAACTAGTCATGGAAAGTCATGAATTGAAAAATTTAAAACGTAGCATCTAATTTATTGTAGTGTAGTATATGAAGCTTGCAATACTTTTATGATTATGGTTTTTAGAAATTAAATTTATTTCTTCAGTTTTACAAATTTGACATATAGTTTAGACATTTTATCTTCAAATAAATTTTTTCCAGTTATTATTATCCATAAAATTTTTCATTAAAAAAATATAGTGTCTTAATTAGCTCAATTATTAAAGCATATTAGATTGCTGCCTTTAAAATTTAAATGCATTTTAAAAATAGGCTAATTTTGTTTCGAATAAATTTGTATTTGTTAGTTAATTGCATCAATTGTAATCAATCTTTCATGGTCACTCCAATGTTATTGGTTTTATTATACCCAAATAAACATGCCGCGAATGTTACACTTTCCTGATTATAAGAAATTTTCTAATAAACAGATAATGATCTGCAACAATTGTTTCCTGATACCAAACATAAAGGTCACTTCATAGTCCTATTTTCTAATTCTTGAATAGAATTTTTCCACCCACTTAGCATCAAAAAGATTTTGATAAAATGTTTTTATGTATTGCATATTTAAAATTTTTTTAAATCTTATTTACTACATGAAATCTCTTTTTATCTTTAAAAAATGTTGTTCTAAATTTGGAAATTTTTATGTTTGCATTCAAAGTTTGTGAGATATGCAGCATAGTGATTAACGGTTAACATCAAAATTACCAGATGTGTTTGTATTTTTTTATAAGCATTTGCAATTAATATTTAAAAGAGAATGGTAAAGAATAAGTACTTTTCTAAGCACAAAAAATTAATATCCTTACTCTAAAGTTAAAATAAAGATATTATTCATATATTATATGCTCTAGTTCTTTGTATACTTAGAAAATGAAATTATTAAATCATCTTTTATTGCTTGATGGTTTTGATTTATTGACTTATTGTTAATGATTAGTCACAGTTTCTATGGACCCTGTTTATATAATCTTGAGCTAGCATAGGTTATGAAAGTATATTTAGAAAAATAAAAATATTCACAATATATAACAAAAAATCATCAAGCTTATTTTAGTAAATATGCTTGTCCCAGTGATTCAAAATATATAACTCAAACCTATAAAATACCTTTTTTTCTGATTGAAATTCATCCTCTAACTTTTATTTATTTGAAAAATAAAATTTCAATTTATAAATTTTTTTAAAAATGTAATTAGGGTAATTATTAAACTCTTAGTGATTCAAATAATGAAATCTAATAGTTTTAATGAATCTTAAGTTAATCAAATAGTGATATTTCATAGAATTGTGGCATTATTACAGAGTTGCCACTCCACTGGGAGAACAGGGGAAACCTGGAAAATACAGGGAATTTAAAAATCACCTGAAATAACAGGGAATTTTGATATTTTTCTTTACAAACTGAGAAAATACATGAACTTTTGTCTTTTAAAAAATGGTTACCACTCAAAGCGTAATCTATGGGATATTTAACCATGATATTTTAGCTATACTAAATTATTTAATTTACTATAGCCTTAAATTTGTGGTTTCTTCCGAGATTACAAGATTTTCCACTTCTTTGCCTGCAGTGTCAATTATTGAAAAAATGTTTGAACTACTTGTGAAAACAATAGTGACAAATAGTTTATGTTTCTTTGTCATTGCCCCTGTTAATTTGCTGTAAGTATCATATAACAGGGCATGTAGCGTTTTTAAAATCTGCTTAAAGGTGCTTTTTTTTTATTTTCGTTTTTTAAAAGCTCTCAAAGGTGCTTTTTTTCAATGGAGGTTTTTAAAAGGTGCTTAATTTTTCCTTTTCGAAAATTAGATTTTTTTTCTTTATCATGTCAATTTTCGCAAAGTATTATGCAAAAGCGTGCTTTTTACATTGCTCTATATTACGTTTTCACAATTCATTTCAGCCTACCATCGGCCCATAGCGTATGAAAGTGCCAATCATTTTACATGTTTGATGAAATACTTGCGAATCCACATGTGCATCTACTGATCTGGGTTCGGTGAGATTCTTGCACTCTTATGTGCAACTCTGCTGCATTTTGTAAGATATTCTTTGTTAAATTTATGAAATGCAATCCCCAAAGCCATGGTGATTCAAACAATAAATCTTTTAACTATTGGCCAGTCAGGTAAATTGATCCAGTTGGAAGATGTTGCTTACATAAGACAGAGTGCCTGGCTGCCATCGAATTTGGTGCATGGTCAAAACAAAATAATCTGGAGCTTGATTTTTGCTTGAACTGTATAAAATAAATAATGAAGTTCCAATGAAAATAATAATAAAATCTTCTTTTATTTTGTAGGAAATATAAGTAAATTGAATTTATAAAAAAACCATAAGATATATTACCTAAGTGCATCAGCACCCTTGAAAAGAGCAAACATTTAGAACCTGCCGCCACCGTGTCTGCATTTCAACTGACCAGCACCAGATAAGCACACACGTGTTCGTTCAACTGAAGAACCAAAGGTGTTGCATAATCTGCATTGGAGATGTGATGTTATCAGTAATGGCTCTAGGAATGATGTCACGATAGAAAAAAAAACCTATGAGGGGAAAAATCAAAGTGTAAAAAGAATACTTTAGTTTTTTTTCAACAACTATAAATCTTTTTTAGTTATTTAAAAGGCCGGGATAGCCTGATCGGTAGGGCGCTGGGCCCATGTCCGAGAGTTCGTGGATTCGAACACCAGCAGCTGAAGACTCCCCCTGTAGTAAATGGTGATTGATGCACGTTAAATCTATCGAATCGGGGAAGTCCTTCATGTTCCCATAACAAATCAAAACCTCTGGGGGTACTGAATTGGAGATTGATCGTTCTCTGATTCTAGTCAAAATTACGATCTGTGGATGTATGAATGGGTCTGCCTTATAAATGGGTGTGACAGAAGTTGAATTCGAGAAGTTGAGTTGAGAAGTTGAAAGGATGTGAGAAGTTGAAGATGGCGCTACTGGGAAACAGGAACAATCTCACCCCTCTGCCTAAACAGGCATGCATCAACAACAGTTATTCAAAAAATGGTAACTTCTTTATTAATAGAATTTGTCTTATTTTTTTTAAAACATTGTAACAAAGGTGATTCTCTTTGATTTATATAATAAAATTGTTGTTCATTAATTGACTTTATGTTAAAATTGTTTCCACTCTTAATGCAGGATTCCTTTTCCTTTTCTTGCACTTCTGGCATCTGGAGGACATTGCCAGATAGCTCTTGTCAATAGTGTGGATGAATTCCTGCTTTTGGGAAATTCTTGCCATAATTCTCCTGGTGAAGTGCTAGACAAGGTAATAATAGTTTTTTTTTAAATATTTCTTGTTTGAAGTATCACTTAATTGTCTGTTTGGTAAAATTTTATGACACATAAAAATTGTTAAATAGTGCTATGTAATGTTTGTCACCTATGCTTTCTGCTTTAATAATTTTGCAATCAATAGAGAGTTATCCTAAAATTTGTATATTTTGCTAATAACTCTAATAAACTTATGAAAATTGTGAAGATACAATAATTTCTAAATTTGAAAGTTGTGTTGCAAAAACTAAATTATTGTTTATCTGAATACCTAATTTTGAATATTCAGTGGAATGCCAATTTTACGTTTTCCCTAGAACTAGCTTTAAAAAATGCAATAAATGGGGAAATGTAAAATCAGGGAGAAAAAATTTGGGCATATTTTTCAAAAATATATACAAGATAACTATTAGAAAAACATGTAATCTTTACTTGTTTTTAGATGCATTTTGAACAATGTTCCTCTCAATACTTTTGTTTCAAATTTCCTTTTTGGTTTATATTTTCAAGCAAATTTGTTTCAGAATTTTTATGTCTTGATATTTTTGATCTATAATGATATTCTTGACTTTTCTCGTTACGCCTGTTATGTTTTTCTTTTCTTTATGTTCTCATTTGTTCTTATCTTGCTAGTCACCAAAATCAAGAAAAATAAATAATTACCTAACAAGTTGTTTATTGCAACATTCTTTAAATGATTAGGTTTTCCCAAAATTCAAAGGATGTAAGTTAACTGAGAAAAATTCCAGTCGCAATTTGCACAGTTTAAGCTTTCATATTTCCTTTAACTACCTTCCGGTGCTTTGCCCATCTCACCATCTTTCTGATTTTGACTCAAGAGGGAAATCCCCTCTCACAGACAAAATGATAGCAAGATGGAATCGAAAGAATGCCAGAATAGCCTCAAACAGCTAATAGACAAGTCTCTCTTTTTTTTTTTTTTTTGAAAAAAGAAAGAAAAAAAGGACTCAGAAAAAGTTTGTGCAATGTTTGTTTGTTAAATTTTACTTGTTTTGATTATCTTTTACATTACACAGTATCAGTTTTTCAGCGCTGAGGCTGAATCTTAGGTTGTATATTTTGAATTGAATCCCATCTTCATTCTTACTGATTATTTTCAAATGCAACTACAGTGAACTCTCACTCCAGTACAACAATAACTCCCTTTATTATGATAATGTTTTGTGGTCATGACAAATTTTCATATGAATTGATGTCATGCTCCTCTCAATATTACGATATTCTCTGATGCAATAAATCCCTGTAAAACGATTTTTTTTCCAAATGTCAACCTCCCTTTCTCCATTTAGAATTGGTTTTCAAATAATGTAAAAAATCTTATTTTATCATCTTTTGCCATTTTTTTCTGACAAGAGAAGACTCACTGTTGACCACCCCAAGAGCTTCCATTCTTAGAATTATCTCTTAAGAAGCTGTTAGAAGCTGATCATGGGGTCAAAAATGACCACAAACATCGCATCTACACCTGAAAGAGAATGTTTTCTGTAGAGGGTGGGTGGAGAGCACCATTCACAAATAAAAATTATTTTTGTTCTTTGGACTCGNTTAAAAAAAAACAAACAATACATTTGAATAGAGGAAGGGGTACTGTGGATTTATTTCTTAGTTTTGTTGTTTAGATGGTTAAATCGATATAACCTAATATCGCGATATAAAAGTGTTGATTATATCGATTTAAGAAATTTCTATATCGTCCAGCCCTAGTCCTGACAAGCTTTCATATGTATTAATGTCATGCTCCTCTCAATATTACGATATTCTCTGATGCAATAAATCCCTGTAAAAAATTTTTTTTCCAAATGTCAACCTCCCTTTCTCCATTTAGAATTGGTTTTCAAATAATGTAAAAAAAATCTTATTTTATCATCTTTTGCCATTTTTTCTGACAAGAGAAGACTTACTGTTGACCACCCCAAGAGCTTCCATTCTTAGAATTGTCTCCCTTATCTCTTAAGAAGTCATAGGTGTAACATTCTTATCTGATTTGATTTCCTTCGTGTTAGAAGCTGATCATGGGTCACAAATGACCACAAACATCGCATTAACACCTGAAAGAGAATGTTTTCTGTAGAGGGTGGGTGGTGCACCATTCACAGATGAAAATTATTTTCGTTCTTTGGACTCGATGCATACATTTTTTGTTGACTTGACAGTCTAAAAAATGAATAAAAAAGCAAAAATATATTATTTTTAATATTTAACCATAATTAACACTCTGCAAATTAAGTTTTTGCATAATATATAAATACATTAGTAGTTAATGCATACATAACATTAAAATTAAAAAGTCTGATTGTGTTCCCAAAGTATGCAGGCCCTCGATATAACAATATATCCCCCTACAACAATATATTTATTTGATCCCAAAAATATTGTTGAATCGAGATTTTACTGAAATAATTTTTTTACTTTAATGCCTTTGTTTTAAAATGAGTTTTATCATTATAAAGTTATATTATAATATTCCTAAAAATCATTCATTTTGTAAACGTGAAATCTGGTGAAGACATCAGTTTCTAGTAACTTCTTTATTTTGCTCCCAATTTTTCTTCTCACTTATGCTTAACTTCTGATTAAAAACAGCATAAAATCAGTATTTGTCTGTTTTGGTATTTACACCATTAATGTCGAGCTTTTAATAAAATGGGTATGTACTATTAGTTGAATTGATTTAGATTTGTTATTAGAGAGAGAGAAATCTGTTTTAATTAAACTGAATTATGCAAAGTTACTAACAAAAGTCTTCACCTTTGATGTAAAACAACTCAAAAACCACATCAATAAAGTTTTCATATCAAATTTTTTTTTTAACATTTTTAAAAAAATATGCAAAAGTAATGTTTAAAATAATTTCCTAATGTTTTGTGAAATATTTTCCGAGCTTTGATATGATAAATGGCGACAGCGGCATTTTCTTTTTTTATTTAACATAGATTGCAATAATTACTCAGCATAAACTTTTATACATCTCTGTAAAAGTGCTTTTCTTGTGTTGAGGGAACATAGACCCCCCAATTACATCAGTTTTACTGTTGATTATTTTTGAGTTGATATTTACCAGTTCACTGTTAAATGTAGATGCAATTTCGTATTCATTATTTTTATTAAACATGTTAGTAGGACCAATTTTAGATAACAGGGCTATTCCACGGTAACTTACGTTACATTCACATAAACTTTATTGCATTGAGAACTAAGAAGCAAACAAATAATATGAATATACATATTAAAATAAAATGATTTCTTAAAATTANATATTTACCAGTTCACTGTTAAATGTAGATGCAATTTCGTATTCATTATTTTTATTGAACATGCTAATAGGACCAATTTTAGATAACACTTATTTTAAAAGTAACTATAACTTACTGTTAAATGCTTGAAGAACAGTTTATAAGTGTAGACAAAAATTTGTATCCATTATTTTTATTGAATATGCAATCTGTATACAGTTTTAGATAAAACATATTTCAAACATAATTATTATTAACTAACTGTTTAATGATCGTAAGATATCTAATAAGTGTGAATACAGATTTATATATATTTCTAATTAAATGTCGCGTAACTTCATAGGATAATTATATAATAATAAAAATATAAATACAATTCACTACAAAATGAAGAAAATTGTGATCGCCTTGCTGCGATCTCAGGTTACCCAATGGCAAAATGGTTGCTGTCTATTTTTTTTTTTGGAAAAGAAATTTTATTGTGTTTTCATCTTGGACATTTTTAACAGTTAATCCTAAACTGCTTGGTACACAATTTCGCAGACATATTTAAATGCAGTTCAGACACATTCTGTGTAAATTCTTTTGATGACTGAATAGACATTGAACAGTCAATCAAGATCAATATTAACATTTTCAGATTGGTACAACAGTGTTTGATGGAGATTGTAAGCTGCATCATACACCCGTTTTGAATCATATTCATTTCCAAACCATATTTCAAGTTCATACATGAAATATGATTTGAAAGCTAGGATTTTTTTTAACTTTACATGAATAGTGAATGAATCATTTATATTGCATGGAAGACAGTCTACGGTCTTGTGCAAGTTATTGGATACATTCACAATGAATCCTTTTATCCCTAACTGGTGATTAACACCCGGTTCTCGTATTTGCATGAAAACCAAAACCCATTTAACCAATGGGTAAAAATATTGCTATTTTGCATTTTTGAATGCAATATAAATGCATGATAGGCAATTTAGCAGATTACTTATTTCCACCAGTTTTCTTTATGTATTTTCTAAATAATTATACCTAGAAAATAACATTGAATAGTTATTCTTCATATTTTTTTAAATGGATTGATATGAACTATTTATAATATAAGTGATTTTACCATTTACATGAAAAGAGGAAAATTCGCCAAGTATGTATTTGTATGTTATAGCTCTTTTATGCCACCCAATGAAAATCCCTTAAAATGTGCTCTTATCTACCATTTACCTTAATTGGAACTCCATTTAACAAAGCCCAAAAAAGTTTGTTACATCAGACATTCATTAAATAGAAATTCACCTCTTAAAAAGATTTTAGATTCATAAACACTTAATTTAAAGCAGTAATTTTCACAGTTATTTTGAAAATCAGTTTATTTTATAACATTTTAGTCATCAAAAAGTATATTTCTAAATCGTTGCACTTCTTGAGTCAAATGAAAGGAGTGGCAGATTTAACGGCTCTTGGGAAGTTAAGAGACATTGTTTGCCATAAATTGTATTAGAAGAAAAATTATTAATTTTAAATGTTTTAAATGCATATTTTGAGAAATAGGAAGAAATGAATATTGGATTACAAGGAAAACTATGTTGAATAGAGATTTCCCCTTGAAAGTTATTTTATGATCAAATTCTCAAAGTGGTTCCGGTAAATAGTTTGCAAAATAGAATAATTCTAAAAGTAGAAGTTCCTTAAGTAGAAATGGCACTGTATTAACATGGTGCATAGCGTTTTTAAAAAGTGCTTAAAGGTGCTTATTTTCGTTTTTGAAAAGCCCTTAAAGATGCTTTTNTCTCAAAGTGGTTCCGGTAAATAGTTTGCAAAATAGAATAATTCTAAAAGTAGAAGTTCCTTAAGTAGAAATGGCACTGTATTAACATGGTGCATAGCGTTTTGAAAAAGTGCTTAAAGGTGCTTATTTTCGTTTTTTAAAAGCCCTTAAAGATGCTTTTTTAATTGATTGTTTTTAAAAAGTGCTTAATTTTCCCATTTTGAAAATATTTTTTTTCTTAACCATGTCGATTTTCACCATGTATTATGCAAAAGCTTGTTTTTCACATTGTTCTATTCAATGTTTTCATAATTCATTCGACCACAATCTATTTCGGCCTACCGTCGGTCCATAGCGTGTGAAGGAGCCAATCATTTTACATGTTCAATGAAATACTTGTGAGTACACTTTTGCTTCTACTGAGCTGAGTTCGGTGAGATTGTAGCATTCTCATGTGCAACTCTGCTGCATTTTGCAGGATATTCTTGATTTCAGGCTTCATTTTCCACCCTCTGAAATCGAAATGAAAAATTTCTCAATATTTTTATGGTGGCTAATATAATCAAGAAAAGAGTTCTTTGTCAGAAACTAGTTGCTTTATCATGATCATGTAAAGTCTTCGAAAACCATTTTGCATTTTCTTCATGTATATAGTGCTTAAAAGTATTTTTTGATTGTTTAAAAAAGGTGCTTATTTTGATTTGGCTAATTGACCTTTTGCATGAGTTAGACTGAAGTGTGTTTTAAGATTGGTTAATTTTTATTTCTCCAGATAGCTAGGAGACTGAAGTTGCAAAATTTGCCCTCTTGTCGTGGGTTGAGTGGAGGTCATGCAATAGAGGTGATGTCTGAAGGTGGTGATCCGACAGCCTATTCTTTCCCTCATTCCCTTCTTCACTACAGAGACTGCAATTTCTCTTTTTCAGGATTCACATCCACACAAGTCATTGAGGACGAAGAAAAGAGATACGGTAAGTTTTTACTAATGATCGATGTTTTTATGTAAGTTTAATTTTGGGATTTCCTGTTTTCTGTGCTGTAAAAGTAATAGAGGGCCATTCTTAAATCAAGTCTCAGCTTAAAGGTTAAAAAGGGCATGTCCAGAAGTGTGACACCCCACAGTTTGTTTAGAATTAAAAAAATTTAAATCAGAAAGATTGAATATTTTTATATCAAAATAAGTATACACACTTCCTTCTAGCTCCCTTGAAAATGACGGGGTGAGGTTTCGCCCTCTATTTCTCACTCCCGTGATATTTCCGGGCTGGAGTGTTTAGTAACACTCCAATAAGAATAAAACTAATTCACTTCTTTTATTTCTCATTTTACACGCGAGATGGCAGTACCAGAATATTTTTAAGGTAGTTGTAGATAGTTAGTTTATTTTAAACTAGATGTCAGCACTAATCAAATAGCACTAATAAAGAAAAACAGGCACTTTTACGACCGTTTTCTTGAAAATGAAATGATCGTTAACGGGTTAATAGTCATTCTTGATATATTTACAATTGTCGTTAAACCACATAGTTAAAAAAAAGAAACATTTGAAACTTGATCTATAACATAGATATTTTTTTCTGAACTGCAAGTACAACATATTTATTTAATAATTATTGCAGGACTCGTGACAAAGGGGAGGAGGGGTCTCAAAGATATTGAAACAATGTGTGATATAGCCTCCATGTGGAAATGGTTTAACAGCTTAATTGTTGAATCCCCCTCCATATTTTTTTTCTCCATAAAATTTTCTTAGGTATCTTTTTGCTAGGATTACTACATTTTTTCCACTCGTAATTCAGCTGTCTCTTATCTACAATCTTATCTTTATTTGAGTTTTTCAATTTCTGCACAGTTTTAGTATTATTTGTAAGGATAATTTTTTAAAAAAACTTCATTCTCCCTTCAAGTAATGAATTTTTGATCAAATATTCTATGGTTTCATGAAGGCATGTGATAAAATGTTAATATCTTATTAAATAAGCTATGTTTTTTTTTTAAATTTTAAATATTAAATTTTTGGTGTGTTACCTCCACAATCTGAGCTCTGCGTGTTTATGGGAGAAACTGAAATTTAAAGTCAACATTTGTTCAGATGTCCAACTAAATTCAAGCTTAACATGAGTTCATTCTGTCGTGAGCATACATAAATATTGCTATTATTAACTAAGAATCGAATTTTTAAATTTTTTTTTTTGTGGCATGATGAAGAACTAAAATTTAAGAAGTATACACAAAAAAATTACATTTGAAATTTGAGGCTTTGGTCTATTTGTACACAAAGGAAAACAATGCTATTTTTCAGAAATTAATTACATTATAATTATACTTTTCTAATTGCATTTTCACATTTATATTTACTTATATTTTCTGTATATAGTTACATGTTTAAAATATATTTTTAGAGTTACACTTAAAATATTTGAAACTTATTGACATTTATTTTTTATTCAACATATCTTACAGATTCTGCAGAAATTTCATCCATTACAAATCTTTCTTTAAAAAAAAAATGAAAAAATGATTTCTGCATCATCATCTTCTCGTCAGCTCAGGGTGGACCTTGGCCTTCTCAAGAAGTATTTTCCAGGCTAACCTTTTTTTTTTGCTGGTGTTTTCCAATTTTTAGTTTTTGAGACCAAAAGGTCTTTTTCTGGTCCATCTATCCATCTCAAATTCGGCCTGCCTCTTTTTCGTGTGCCAACTGGTCTGGCATTGAGAACTCTTTTCGTGGTATAGTCTTCGTCCATTCTGATTTTGTGGCCTGCCCATTATATTCTTTGTCGTTTAATAAGGTTAATAATGTCAGGTTCATTATATGAGTGATAAAGCTCTAGATTTGGTCTTCTGAGCCACACATCATTTTTTTAAATTCCTCCAAAAATACTTTTCAAGACCTTTCTCTCTTAAAGTACCCAACATAGCCTCATCCGTACAAGAACAGGTTGTATTTCCATTATGGTGTTGTTCCTGTTGTTGATAACAGAACCCAAGTAAACAAAATTGTCAACAACCTCAAATTTATATTCTCCAATTTCTAAACGGGTGTTATTGAAGCTTGTTTTAGTACAGGGCAAATATTTAGTTTTGCTTTATTTGTTTAGTTTGATTTCTGCGTATAAATACCAAAATTCTTTGTAATATTAAATGTCTCTTCATTGCAGATGTTGCTGCTGACGGAGTTATACCGAATGTTCGAGATTTTTGCGCATCACTTCTTCATGGTTATTCCCTGCATTTGTCTCACAGGGTCGAACGTGCCTTTGAATTCTGTAAAATAGAAAATCTGATGAGTGACCAGCATCGAGCTCTCGTCTTTTCAGGTGGAGTTGCTTGTAACTCCTACATAAGGAAATACCTTCAACAAATGTGCACTCAGTTGAATTCAAAATTTTTTCCTGCACCAAAACATTTGTGTAACGATAACGGAATCATGATTGCCTGGTAAATACATAAAAAAATTTGGTTTCTTGATTTACCTATTTGAGTTGCAAAATATTTCAGTTACTTTTTTTAATTTGCCATTGTTACAAAGGAAAAATGGGAACTCTTTTGAAAAGACCAACTTCATCAGAATGATGATACAGTAAAACCTCGCTACAACAATATTTTTGGGACGAAATAAATATAGTGTTGTAGAGGGAGATATTGTTATACCTAGGGCCTACATACTTTGGGGAGACTAAAATAATTTTTTTAAAAATTTTAATGTTATACATGTATTAACTGTAAATGTATATTTTATAAAAAATTAATTTGCAGAGTGTTAACTTGGATTTAATTTGCAGAGTGTAAAATTAATTTGCAGAGTCTTACTTGGTTGAACAATTTCATGTCATTAAGTGACAAAGTGTTTGTGAAACTGGTAACCATGTTTCCGCCAAAATTGATGTCAGGGTTTGCTGAGAGATACACAGCTGGAAGAGGTGTTTTAAGAAATGCAATGTCAAACTTAGGGATGTGAAGTTTTAAGAAATTCTTGCTAGTCATAAAATTCTCAAACACTTGTAACATAGTAGGATAAAAAAAATCAAGTATCTGCTCACCCAATCCAAAAGTATCTGCAGGCTCATAATTTTTTTTTCTTTAGTTTACAAGATGCTGTTATTATATTACAAAAAAGACAGAAAACATTTGATATATTTATTTAGTCCCGACAGAAATAAAAACAATATATGCACATTAACTCTAAGAATATTAGAGTAAGATTAATGCAAATAGTTATAAACGAAAATTAAATTAAAGAACTGTATTCATAATAACATTAAACACACCATGACCAGTCAAAAGGCCAATTATTCTATTGTGAAGTGTTGGAATGCTTAGTTTAGTGTTAAGTGATTTTGCCATAATAAAAGTTGAGTAATTTTGCTCCTGTAATTCTTCAGAGCGAAATCCATATTTAACTTTTTATATTAAACTAGGGCAACTATATTTCATATTTAATAACAAACGAGGCTACATTAAAAGATTTCTAACTGCCACAGATATTGTTTATTTTCGTTGTTAAGCGATAGTCGTGTTTATTTTGTTTGCCAGTCCGCTAATAATGGGATCACAAATTTTTGGGCCAAATGAGCAGTTTTATCTTTTCTCTTCCGTCTTCTACCTTGCATAAATTGTGATTATGTTGTCGTCTGTTTCTTATTTTATGTTTTTTCCCTGCAAACTTTTTTTTTTGCGTTGATACTTTTTTTTTAATGTAGCAAAAAGTATTTAGAAAGTATCTGCAAAATTGGCGAATCCCTTCTAATGTATCCGTGCACATGTCTGTATTATCTAACTGCCCAGTAGGCAGCATTAATAAAAATGATTTCTACTCCCACATGTATTACTAAACCAAAAATTGTGAACTATTATAAAGAGGTTTTTCTGAAGCAGAGCTTTTATAATGATTTGTTCATTTGCTGCTGAAAATAAATTTTGTATGTTGATTTGAAGTAATCAAAATATATTGTGATAACATATTTTTTCTCTTTACTATCTGAATAAACAAATATAGCAGTTAGCACTGAATACATAGCATATTTAGAAGTTACAGTAAACTTAAGAAAAATTGTTGTTATGAGGACCTATTTTCTACTCTTTTTGAATCTCATTTATTTGAATTTGTTGGATAATCCTACATGTCAAAACTTAATTTGATTTTTTTGGGTTATTGTTAAATTTCTCGGTCCCATATCCTGCTGTCTGTTTTCTAGAAACAGTAAAAAACAAATCTCTCTCTTTTTTTTAAAAAAAAAAGACACAGTTGTGATCTGCTACATAAATTATTTTTCATTTTATTTAGCTAAACATTTATACTGTTTTAATGAGCATATTTTAAGAGTTGCTGAAAAGCGAATGAACTATGAATATTAATTGTGTTTGAAAGCAGCGGGCAGGCTTTGTTTTGATTTAAATTATAAATGTTTTCATTAAAAAGTCTAATAAATTATGTTTCTTGTTTATTTATTTTTTCTCTCCAATAAATAAGATCGAATTACTTTTTGAATTTGAAGCTTGTTTTTTGATGTAATTCTTAGATGAATATTTTCCTACTAATCTATCCATTTTAAATTTTGTAATTGAGACTATATAAGAAAGATCTAAGTAATTAAGAGGGCATTTTTGTATCCAAAACAATCTTTTTTTAATGAACTAAATTGTTTTATTTACTATGTGCTGCCAGTTATACTTTACCCCTGTGGTAAAATTTTTTCAAGCTATCTGCGACAAAACTCTCTAGCACTAATATCATTCTGCAAGAAACTTTTAATAATAACAAAGATATATGTTACTAATTTAAAATAACAAAAGCGCTGTGTTTATAATAAAAAAAACTATAAAATAATTTTTTTAAATTAAATATGTAATAATTTTTTATTCTATTATTATGAGTGATATCCTTGCATTTTGTTTGAGAGAAACGCACAAATTATTTCCTTTTTCGCATTTTTTAAATAATCATCACAATAAAAAAAAAAAAATTAAAAATCATGAGATCCGTAGTAGTAAGTGCCAAAAAAAATCGATTAAATCAGGCGAATAGGATTCTTCAAATGCGTCTTTTGTTTTAGGATTAGGTTGTTGTAATAAATAATATCGTATAAAAAATAGCAGATTTAAAAACTATGGAGAAATCAATAGCAATAACTGCCAAAAATTCGATCGAATTATTGCCTCAAAAAGTAAATGCTCAAATGCACGATTCAAATTTTCCATATTGTTTGAAATATATCGAGATATTTAAAAAAACACCAGAAAATCCATATTAATAATTGCTGAAAATACAGATTTAAATATTACATGTAAATTTCTGTAGAGAAGAAAAGTAATAATTTTGGCTTTTTAATTGAAAAATCTTTCAGCAAGAACTCTGTGGTTCTGCGACAATGTCACTGCGATTCTGGCACGGGGTACTTTACTGTATCTGTTTTGTTGAAAAAAGCTTTTTTTTAAAAAATATTCAGTTATTTTTTGTATTTTCTGATTTACATATTCATGTATTTCCCTCATAAAAAGAGTAAACATAAAAATGTTCCTGTTGTAGGAATGGAATTGAGAAACTGAGGAAAAATATTGACATTCTCTATAACTTTGATGATGTTCTGCCTGATCCTGAGTAAGTACTTGTTCATTGTGGATTTTTTTATTGTAGGACTCTTTAATCTTTTTGAATCTAACTCATTTGCCAGTCTGAACTTAACTTTAACTGTGAGAAAATATTTATAAAAAGTTAAAGAATTGCTTTGTAAGGTGTAAAGAGTAAAAGCGTAAAGTTACTTTTGAAGAGCAAAAACTAAGTTTTAAGTCAAAAATAGTATATTTATTAGTTTATTTTTTTATATACTCAATCAACTTCCATTTTGAAAAAACACACTGAAATGTATGCATTTTAAATATTTATAAATCCAAATTAAATTTTAAAAAAATTCTACAGTAGTTTGTCAAGCATCACTGGCTGCGGTCAGTAAACGGATGGGTGACCACCTTGATCAACCTGCATTGGGACCGAGGGTGCTCGGTATCGGTCCTAGTTAAACTGTTCTACCCAAAGCAGGGGAGCTATCCTCTCTGCAGAGAATAAAAATTGCGATGGCATGTCTTTGGATCATCCTCAGGGATATTTCCCAGACCGTCGCCAATAGCCCATTGGCAGGTCTAGTGCGACGTAAATAAAGTACCTACCTATAAATTGAGATAAAGGAAGCCTATATTTCTGCACACCAAGGCTCATGTTTTTTTGTTGTTGATTTTTTTAATCAAATAATTAGATTTAAATCAGAATTTTTTGAATTTTTAAGATTACATGTTTAAACTTGAAAATAAATTACCCAAGGAAACTAACATTTCATAAAAAGAGTAATGGCTTAATGAAAAAAGCATAAATTTTAAATTCATTGCACCCTTTACTCAATTCTGATTGTGAATACATCCTTTCAAACTTATTCATGATTTTTCATTATTTTTTTTTTCTTCATTGAGATGATTATTAACAAAATGCGAAGAAGGAAATAACTTGNAAGTAAATAATTTGTGTGTCCCTCCTCAACAAAATGCGAGAATATCACACATAATATTAGAATAAAAATTTATTACAGGTTCGATTAAAAAAAAAACTAAATAGTTTTTTTTTTTGTCAAACCTAATGTATTGGTCATCATGATGGCTTAAGAAATATGTTCCACAGGGTAAACATCATAAAGTTAACAAATCCTTAAAAAAAGAAAAGAAAGAAAAATCATACCATGAAAAACATAAGTCTGAATTTATCTGACAACTTTTTTTTAGTGCCCTATTAGGATTATTTATTTTTAATATTGTATATACTTTAAGATTCAGAAATATATTTTGAAGAAATATGATTATAATTTTATTTTGAATCATGCCTGATTGGAACTGAAATAAAAATGTATTATTAACAACTACTGAAGAGCAAGTTAAAGTAACCATTGTAAAATTAATTAAGATTAATTAAGAATTAATTAAGATTCTGTTGAAAAGTAAAAAAAATATGGTTCCTACATATAAGCAGACACTTAAACTTTTTGGTTGACAAAATATTTGTTATACTATACTATTTTGAAATATTTAATGTAGAATAACCTACCTTTCCCATTAAAAAAACATAATAATAATCACTCTATGAGAAAAGAGATTTTGAATTAATCTGACAACTTTTTAATGCATTATTAGATGAATTTCTTTTTTTATGTTTTACTTATTGAAAGGTTCAGAAGTATATATTTTCTATGCAAAAATAAAATGTTGTTCTGAAGATGTTTTTAAACTTTGCATTGGTTCAGTATAAGTATGCAGGAAAAAAAATTGCTTGATTTTTCATTTGTTCTTTATTTGCAGTCTAAACAATCTGAAAATTTTTATGATTTTTAAAATGTTATTTAAAAACTGCTGCTATTTACAATTATACAAAGTATTTGTGTAATTATCAAATGCATCAGTTTAATTTTACAATAAATATTAAAACTATGTAAATCAATAAAAATTTAAACACTATTATATTTAAATGGGTATGCAAATGTTCCAAAACTCCTCCAATTTATACAAATTTTGTTATTACAGTAGAAATAAGGAATTTTAAATTTTGCAGTATCCTTGTCTATTGAATTTATTGATGATTGTTTATTAAATAAATCAGTTTAATGGTATAAAGACTATGAGTTTGATTAAAACATAATTTAGAATTAGTCTCCCTATTTGATAAACACATGCATTGTTTTGTTTTTTGTTGTCCTTTTTATATAGTTCTCATTTATTTATTTTTCCCCCCTTGTACAGTTGCCCTCTAGGAATTGATATGACTGAAACTGTTCGCAAAGCAAACATTAAAGTTCGATTACCGAGAATAAATGTTAGTGCTGGTTGAGAAATGTATTATGTGCTGATTGAAGATTTATTTATAAGAAGTGCCTCTGGTTTGGAACTCTGAAAAGTACAAATACTTTATATTGATTGGGACTTGAAAGTCTCCATAGAAGGAGAAAAAGAAACAATTTTGAAATGAATCAAAACATTTTTACTAAAAGGCCATTTTCAGAAAACGATCCTTCAAAAGTAGATGTACAGATTTCGGTTTCTGAAAGCTTTAACTGGATACGAAGAAAGTAAGAAAAAAACCCAGGGTAGACTGTTTAAAGTTTTACGGGGTATCTGCACACCTGGAAAGTCATGGATTTCGGTATTGAAGAAAATTTGTCATGAAATGGTATGATTTTAACTATTTTTTTAAAAAAAATCATAGAAAGTCATGGATTTAGGTTGCCGAAAAATCTAATTTTTAAAATGAAATTTACCCCCCCCCCCTCTTCCCAATTTCACAGTGTTCTGATTATCTGAATTTGTAACAAAATCATCAATCATAGTCATATTTTATTGAAATATAAAATATTTTTATCCTGTTCTTTAAAAATTATAGTGTTTTTTTTCAAAAAAAGAAACAGCAATTATCTTTTAAACTTCCATGATTTCAGAATTTTTTCAATCTATTTATGATTTATTTTATCAATTTAAAATTCTAGTTTAGACTCTTTATATGACACTTACTTTTAAGAAGAAATAAAACAGGTTTAAATAACTACTTATATCTGACTGTATTTAGTTATTTGCTTGTTTTTTTTTCTTTAGCTATTTTATTGCTTCAACTCTTTCTTTATTCTGTTATTTTAAATTTAAAATCTATAAATATGAAAATGTAGAGTGTAACAGTTTCGGTTATACCTATCATTTCAATTAATGTTATCATAATGCTTTTTTAAATTTGTTGTTGTGTTTTAGTCAGAGAAAATAATTACTTCGTTATGTCATCAGAAATTTTTGGAATTTAGTCATGAAAAGTCATGGCTTTGAAGATCGAGAATATAGCAGATACCCTGACAATAGTACTCATAATAGAGGAGATTAAAATAGGGAGGGTCTTCTGATAAAGGTAGGACACCAAAACACGCATAAGTTTTTAATGAAATTGTATTTTTCTACACTTTTAGCTTGCTTATGTTATATACAAGATACCCCAAAAATTACAGAGAATTTGAAAAATAATTTAAAGTAAAAACAGAGTTAAAAATATAATAATCAGGGTTTCCACTCCAACAGAGAAAACCCAGAAAATACAGGAAATTTAAAAATCACTTAAAATAAGGGGGAATTTTAAGTTCTTTAGAAACTGGGAATTTTGTTTCTTATTTTCGTCTTTTAAAAAATGGTAACCACTCAAAGTGCAATGTATGGGATACTTAAGGATGATATTTCAGCTATATTAAACTATTTTATTTTACTATATCATTATTTGTTTTAAATATGTTCAGCTGTTCCTCCAAGTTTCTTCAGTGATTATAACTAGCAGGGCTGATTGTGCTCTGGAAAAAATCCGGATTTCCGGATTTTCCGCTAACCGTGATCCGGAAATCGAAGGTTAAGACGTTTAAAAAAATCATTGATCACAAAGGTTTCCGGAAATCAAATTTTCAAAGGTGGAACTTAAAAACTCAGTTTATTTTATTTNTCAATTACTTCTCCAGGTTATCATAGGTATGTGTAAAATTTTAAATATATTTTAAGTAAACTAAGAAGTATTGAGAAAAAGAAAAAAACCTTGTTTAAATTTTTTTTCTAATTTTTCGATTTAAAATTTTTTTTTCTTACTCAAGAAATTTTCTGGAATTTTGACTTGGGCTCACAATCACCCCTGAACTAGTATAGTTAGCCCAATACAAGAACTTCAGTGATTGTGTTTTTCCATTTAATATGTTGTGTATAATGTGTACAGGGAAAACACAGGAAGTTTTTTTTTCCAGATTTGAATGGCAACTATGATTTATCTTTCAGTTAATTACAGTAATTATTTTTAAAAATTAAGTTTTTTGTATGAATTGATTTTGGTTGTTAATGTTCTTTCGTACATACATGACTGGTGTGTCTGCTGATTAATTAATTTATGAAAAATAAAAGAGAAACACTGTTATGGCCAACTACTTTATTAATGACTATTTGAAAGCAGTACAATAATATGTTGAAATATCAATAAAGATGTAATTGATATTCGACTGCATGTAATTCTTGCACAGTTAAGAAAATGCTTCTTACAAGATAATTCTTTCATGCTTCCCATTGTAACAATTATTGATTTTCTGAGAAACATTTGATTAAAAAAAAATGCTATCTCTCTATGTTTTTTGAAGTACGCACACTTAGTTATCTTAGATTTAACTTTTCTGTTCAATTTGGAAGTTATTTTTAAAACATCTCTTTAGATGTAAATCTATACGAATATAATATCTTATAGGAGTACCATTAAGTATCACAAGGTTTGGGATTTGAAATGAATGGGTAATCTATTGATCCTGGACCATTGAAATTTGACCACTCTAAAATAAATTTTCAGTAGTTTCCCAGTCCAGCAATTGATGTAAAGGGATGGTGTGTTGTTTTGTGTCTTGGTCTATGTTTTTGACACAAAATTGCTCATTTTATCATAATTGGGAACATAACACATTCTTTGTATTCTAAGTTTTAATATAAAGTCACTTTATTAACCTTTGGCGCCCGATGGCTGAGCATTAGTGCTTCGCGCTGTCCTGCCACAGGGCCTGGTTCGATCCTCGGGCCGGGCAAGGTTGACTCAGCCTTTCATCCCTTCAGTGGGTCGACAAATAAGTACCAAGCATGCTTGGGAACTAAACACTGGGGGTTCCGCTTTTGGCTGACCACCTGACTGGAACATCTGTTCCTGCACCCCAGAACCCAAGGTCAGGAAAACTGAGATGGGCACAGTAGGCCTAGGCCCTCTATGGGCTGTCGCGCCACTGAGTTTAGTTTGGTAGTTATTAACCTTTTAAAAAAAAAGCTAATTGAGACATGTAAACAAACCAGTGAAAATGTGTACATAATACAATATATTTAGTTATTAGTCCTATCGTCTGGTAACTAAATTGTCTTAATTTCTACTCCTGCAAAGTTGTCAATCATATGAAAGAAATCATCCAGCAGCTCATCGTGAGCCAGGGATTCATGGATATTAAAGCTTTAACATTTTTAGAACAGCGGAATGATTGTGGCAATTTGTACAAGACGCCTTTACTTCCCAGACAAGTTGGAACAAGTCTGTCTGGACTGAAAGTCCCTCCTTCACAATAATAGCTGAATGACTTTAATTACTGAGCTGTCACAGCTTAGTGAATTCATATGGAGTCAATGAAAAATTTTATTTTAACCGTCTACTGCAGATGAGACCGAATCTCTACGTTTTATCTATGACTCTTTATTTTTGGAGTGGTCATAGAATATTTTTGTGACTGTTTTTTATTTAAATCAAACTGTGCTCAAAAAAGAAATTCCGCCATAAATGATCCAGTACCAACATACCGGCAACCCGATGGCACGCCTAAAATGCAGTCGCAACTCTTTAACGTGAAATCGGCGGGACGATCTTAATTATTTCATGTTAACCAAATTTTGTCTTATCTAATACATCATGAAAACAATTTATTACGTACTATTAATGCATGTTATGCACTACATTAATGTATGCAAACAATACTATTATGCACCAAACCAATTCAAATAAGCTTAAAAGTTTGAACTACTTTATTTAATCGCTTTCCTTACCAATTTTTTTGGAAAAAATGATGCAAGAATTTGCATTCCTCAAAAAATCAATGATTTGAATTTTATTTACTTGCTTATTATCTGTGCAGTTTCCTTTCATGTTAAGCGATAATCAGCTTGAAAATTTCACGTTAGGCATGTAAAATACAATAATAATTGATTGCGGACTCATGGGACCTAACATGTGCTTCCATGCAAAGCTACATTTCGTGTTAAGCGGTTTCGCATTAGTGAGGTTCAACTGTACTAATTAAACAATCAGCTTGTAACTTGCTGACGAAAAAAATGAATAAATACTTAATCTATAATACTAATAAACCTTAAGTCTATTTTGTTCCTTCCCAAAATTCAAAGTTGTTTGGCTAATAATTAATGGAAAAAAGAAACTGTGGCTTTTTGTCTCTCTGCATTTAGAAACACGAGGAAATGGAATATGAAAAGAATAAGATAGAATAGAACTGCCAAAAGGATAATGTAAACAGGTTTAGGAATCTTAAACTGGTTTTGCTACCAAAAAGTGTCCAAAACTGTATTGAAGTGTCCAGTACCTGTAATTCTAAAAATAGTTAACTCATTCCAAATCTACTTAACACATTCAAAAATTATTCAACTACAGTTTTTACTAGTGTTACATTTTTAATATCAGCTCAGTTGTTGATATCTTACAAATCATTTTATTCAAAATTATATTAATCATATTACATTATATTAATCAAATACATTATTATTTTGTCACATTGCGTTATCGCAAATAATTTATAACAGTTTAAATAATTAATGCAAATACAGCAGTTTTTTTTTTTTAATTCTTTAAAAAGTAACACTTTTACTTTATTTTATATTTGTTATAGCTTTTATTACTTTTATATTTAACATTGTTCGTATAAAACTACATTATAGTATCTAGTTTTGGACAGTTCTAGACAGAAGGATTAGAACCAGCTTATATTTAAATTTAATTAATTTTTATTTCTGTTTCTTCAATGGCACGCCAGCTCAGGGTGGGCCATGACCTTCCTCAAAAGCAAGTACAAAACATTTTTTGTTACTGTGTATTACTTTTTAGTCATTTTTTCCTTTCATTTTATTGATCATTTATTTAAGTAATGTGTAATAAAAGGATGGAGTTCAGAACCATTAATTAAAATTGTATGCGCAGTGGATATAGTGAACTCCCGGTTACAATGAAGGTTCACTATAGCGAGGGTTAACTGTAGCTTGATTAATAAGTTTTCCGTTGCTAATTTTTCAATCGTTTAAGTATTCCTTGAATGAAACTTCTACAAAGTCTAGAGAGATTGGATGGTATTATTTTTTGCAGATTTTATCATTGTGTATTTGATTGTAAAAAAAAAAATGGAAGTAAATATCACGTGTACTTTTTGTTTACTAATATTTTGCTTGAAAATCCTCTTCCAAATGTATGAGAATAAATTAGTTCTAAATTAATGTCAGCAAAAGCCTCTAAATTTCATATTTTGTTTTTGCTTACACATGAAAATTTGCCTAAGTCATCCTGAATAGCTTTTGACTTAATGATCGGATTTTTGTATCGGATTTCCCCTTCAAGCAGAAAATGGATTCTACAGAGTATAAACAAAATTTCCTTGTTTATTATGCAATAAGTAGTTTTAAATTTAACTAATAAGTATTTTTGTTTAATGTATACATTTTAGAGGACGCCATACTGTGGAACAAAATTTTCCTCTCAAATTCTCCTTCATTTCAAATTAAAATTTAAAGTGTAGAAAAAGTGAGTTCAGAAAAACCTAGAGTAAACCATGAAGTTTCAAATGCTGAAAAGAAAATGTTTAAAATATACAAATGAAAATAAATTATGAGATGATAACTTACGCAACGGAAAAGTTCTCTTCTAACAATTTGTTTGCATTTTAATATTTTGAAGTATTTTTTTCAGCAATTGAAACTTCATAACTTACTCTAGATGTGCCTGAACTCACTTTTTCTTTCTTTTAAATTAGTAATGAAGGAGAAAGAGAATTTGCGACGAAATTTTTCTTCGAGCTGTATGGCGTCTTCTTAAGATGTATCCTTGTGTTATAAGTATTTCAAAGTTTTAAGTTTTGGAAACTAATTACAACCGCAATATTTAAGATTTGGTTACTAAGTTCAATAGTACACATTTCATCGATTAAAGTACAAGAAAATGTAATTCAGGATATATTAATTATTTGGCAATGAAATAAAGAAATTGAGTTTTTACAATTCTTCAAAGGCTAAGTAATGGAGTAAGTGAAATCTCTTTTCTGTTGGAAAGGGTATGGTTGCTTAAACTAAGACTAGAAAACCTTTCTCTGAATGAACAAATCTTAATTCTTACCCTTAAAATGTGATGGATAGCTGCTATCTGGAAAATATTGTCTGAATAGTTAAGTTATGAAAACTGTTTATTAAAGATTAGTTATTATTATTTTTAATTATACATTATTTCGCATCCAGTTTTACAATTCCAAATATTTTTGCACCCATTCATAAAAACCATTTACCCATACATAGTTTATATGAAAAAATAGTTCTTAATATAATTGTTTTTTAATTAATTGATTGAAATTTTTTTTAATTGAAAGGTAATTTTTTTTAAAACTTTTTTTATTATATAAGTGATAAATTCTAAAATGTCAGCTATTTAGGTTTAATAGTTTCTGAGAAATGAGTATTTGAAAAAATCTTATTCTTGAATTTCGATTTCTCTGGTAGAACTTGTTTTATTCAAATTTTATATAAATATTTTCATAATATTATAGTTTCACATAAAAAATTTTTAAACTTAAAATTACATTGTTTAATATGATATAAAAAAATTTGGGCATTTTGCAATTGAAAAAAAAATCTAAGATAATTATTTAATTAAATTCTTAAATATAATTAATAAAAAATTATTTTTATGGAAAATTATATAAACTAGATTTTTTTTAAATAGTCGTAAAGATACTTATTCTTAAAATTTATACCAAAAATATGGCGAAATACACAAATAATTAAGCTTGTTAAAGGTGTCCAGGGTAATCTTTCAGGAACCGTACCTTTGAAATTACAGCAGCCTTCTTGTCAAGCATTAAAATTTATCCATCTAAATTGCTTATTCAGAATTGCATCTAATTTTGTGACTTAAACACAACCAAGTTGATTAGTTAGGTGACATCCTTAGGCCATGAAAAATCCGATTATTTGATCAAGAGTCTTTTCAGTGTGTATATGAAGTGAACAAGCAATACTGAAAATATATGAAACTTATCTGAATGAAAAATCAGTGGGGGGAAGCAGACATGGCCGTTCTGTAACCTAGATCAAGTCTACGATCTCTACCGATCACCATGTTTCTTACTTTGTCAGAGTTGACGATAACGCCATGATTGACTACCAGTTCCTCCTTCATGCTTTGTATGTCTTCGAGGGCAACACCCCTGCAGGCATCTTCTATCAAGATGGTTCTGTAACCGTGTTCTAAGGAATGCAACGATGTATATCGAACACAATATTCTGTCGCCAATCCACAAAGGTAGACGTCGGTCACTCCGCGGGAACTGAGCTCTTCCGATAAATTAGTCTGCGATAGTTTCTGGTTGTCCCAAAAAGCCGAGTAACTGTCTATATCTGGACAGGTTCCTTTGTAAATGAAAATGGCATTTTCGGCAATTGTCAACTCCGGATGCAGTTCCGCTCCCCACGACTCTTGGACGCAATGTTTGGGCCATAATTTCTGCTCAATCTTCGGTGGCCCGCTGAATGTCACGGTATCGAATATTTTTGCCTCGTCTGCCGAGATGCTGCAACTTTTATGGAATTTTCTTAAGTGAACGTTGTCCACGAACGAAACGTGATCTTCCGGATGCCAGTCATAAGTGTAGAAAACGTAGTTGAACGGTACGTTCTCGAGGAGTTCGTTAATGACTGGGACTACTTCTTTTCCTTCTTGCCCCGCTGGGCAGTTGCGGATGGCCAAAGAACCATCTATAAAATCGTTCTGCACGTCGATAATTATGAGGGCACTCTTTGGTTGCAGAATTGGAAGAACGAACGAAGGCCACATTGACAAGAATTCTTCGCGGCATATGATTCCATCTCGATCAGTGTCGAATACATAGAACATCTCGGCGCACATGCGAACAGCTAACTCGTAAGATTTTCCATCACCGTCCACAAAAAGTTCTCTCATGAGCGAACACAGCTCTCTCAGGCTCAGGCAATCGTCGCCGTCGCGATCAAAGAGATGCAGGCAATCCAAAGCTACTTTCTCCTCCGCAATATTTTCATATTCATTCAAAAGATCGTCGAAGAAGTTAGCCATTTTCACGAGATAAGAGATATTCCAAAGAATGGAGAGGCGAAGAAGTTCTTCTCATCCCAACACAAAATACAACCATGGCAACGATACAATGAAACGTCTTCTTTTTTTCTTTCTTTGCAGTCAATAATTATTATCCCATGTTCTTAGCGAAAATGATTGCGTGAGGTCTATTCTTACTTTCATTTGTTACGTTTCATAAAAGGGTTGGGAAGAAAAAAAAAGACATCCATAAAATTGATACATATTTCAGAAGTCTGCCTTCGCGACCTATCACCTATCCAAAGTATTAACAGATAACTTTTCCGTAGCTTAAAATTTTATTTAAGAAAAGATATTAAACACAAATGCGTATAAATCATTCTAAGAAATAAAAAGAAACCTTTGGCGAGATGTATTAACTATTCATCGATCCTCGCAAAATTTTTTTTGTTTGAGTTATGTTTCTTTTTTTTTTCTGGAGAATTTATTCTTTGTGTTTTCTTCATTTTAACTGTGTGGAATGAGAAAAATTCTCCACCCTGCAATTCTCTATTTCTTACTTCGAAAAAAACAGTTGACATTAAACTTTTACCTCGTTTTTATAATCACCCACTTATGACGATGGAAGTTTGTAATTAAAATTTTGATGACTTTCTGACTAGCTAGAGCACTCCAATTTCTACTTTAGCTCTTTGCTTGATATTCGGTATCGCTACAAGTAGAATGTATCGCCAAAGGGGATTTATCGTCCATCGACATTTTGACCACTTTCAGATTAACTAGAATAGTCAAATTTTAATTTTAGCTCCGTGCTGACAGAAAATACTATTTTTTTAAAAGAATTTATCGTCTGTTTATAAATAAAATTCATCGTCCATCAAATTCTGAAAACTTTTCAAGTAGCTCGAGAATTAACTGGAGCTCTATGTTAGTTGATAATACAAGTTAAAATTGTTTCCTGGTCATTTCATCGTGAAAGAGAATTTAAAATACCACTTCTCGATTTGCTAGAGTGATCAGATTTCAGTGAGAATTCTGTGCTTGCTGACAATTTCAATCATTTCCTAAATGAATCCAAGTAGAATGTGGCGTCAAGCGAAGTTTTTACTACTACAGCTGGAATGCAAATTCGGGTTACTCATTTTCTAAATGATGCGAGAAGAATTTGTTCGAAATGTTGCCTACTTCTCAACATAATAAAATGAAGGGAAAAAAATTAAGTGCTATATTTTTCGGGAAGACTAAAAGGAAGCAAATAATACTATTTTTAGTAAATCTGAAACAAAAACGCAAGTCCCTCTCGTCAGAAACTCCACGTAAAACTTTTTTTTATTCTTGTACGAAAGTGCGGTATTTCGTGTAAGATCTGATAGAATTATTTTTCTTTTTTATAAAACACTCGGAAGATGTATTGATTTTTTTATTTTAAATTAATATTTGTAATTTTTTGTCTTCATGAAAATAAAAAAGCTTGATACTTTATACTTTTTTTTATAGTTTGATACTTTTAACATTAAGTAAAAAAATCGCACTTTTTCTGAATAATATTCCGACTTTTAGCATCAAATTGGTTAAAAAAAAGTCGAATTTTCAAATTCTTTAGTTCACTGCTAAAGTAAAATTCATGTAATATATTGTATATCTTAGGTAAATTATTTTGATGACTGATGAATAAAATTGTAAAGAACGATGAGGAAAAACAATTATTTCTCACAATACTGAAAGAAAACACAAATAATTAAATTCGAAAAGGATAAAACTTCTTTGAAAAAACGCGCTAAGAAGCAGCAGAAATTTCAGAAAAAAGTATCAATACAAGAAACGAATGAAATAAAAATAAAAATATGACCACCGAAGCCGACGTCTTCAGGGGGTACCGGCCTCGGTAGCCATTAAAAACAAAACCATTTCTA